ACTAAATGACCCATAAGGGTCCCTTCCAACTCAAATGATTCTACAATTCTAAATGCTGAAGAATATTCGTGTCTTGAAGGGGAGGGAGGTGACCAAAGTAAAAAGAAATTGGGAAATATAGAATGCAACAAGAACGATTGAAAGTGTTGAACTGCTTCCATTTTAAAACATTCGAGTAATAAATGGCTTTTGAGTTCAGAGAATGGTTTTAGAAAGCAGATGAGAATTTGAGATTTACAAAATTGGGAATGAATCTTCATCCACTTATGTCAATGCTCACACGTAAGCCCTGCTGGATTTAAAGGACTGAAAAAAAAAAAGCTCATTATTAAATACTCTATGTGCCAGTAGAAGTGAGAACTTGAACAGAAACTTTATGACAAAACTTGTTTGTCAATTCTCAGAATGACTGTTGATCTGAATGTAATTCATGTACTCATTAACATCAACACATTTGAATCCAATCAAATAATCAGCACAGACGGAAAATTACCCTCGTAAATCAAAATTAGCACTGTTTACTTTTAATCTGCTATTTTATCAAAGAAATACTGTTCCTTCAGAAAATAAGTCAATCAGTTTAAGTCATTAAAAATAATCCAGTTTCACACAGAAGAAGGAATGGGAAGACAACCTTCTATAGTTAATAACTGAAAGCTTAACATACTAAAAGGTTCCCACACATACTAGAAGTCTGCTTAGTCCAACAACCCATCTACAGCACTTCGGCAATAGCAGTCCTACAGCACAAACCAGGTACACAGGACACTCTCCAGCCTCCAGGAATTCACAGCCCAAGGACTTTAATCCAGAAGCAGATCTTTTGAATGGAAATAGATCCCAATGGAATTTTCTTCCATGAACTTGTCTAGCCTTCTGGAGAATTCATGCACCCTGAGTTCATAGCTGATCTTCACCCTACAGGAAGCTGTGTCTGCTTTTGTCATTTTTTAAGATACCAACTACAAGTTTCCTTTAGTTCTTATAATACAGTTCTTACATTAGACGATACAGTGAGCAGGAATACAGTTCCCTATTCACCTCTACAAGCCTCTCATGACTACGTGCTATCATACTTCCCCCTCAGTCATCACCTTTCCAGATCAAAGTCCACTGAAGAATAATTTCGTCTACAGTGGCCTGTCCAGACTTTTGATCACCTGCATTTTTTTTCTGCAATTTTTGCAGTTCCTTTGTAACCTCTATGAGGCAGGAAATCTGAAATTCACAGACGGATTACCCCAGCACAAAGTGGTTGGTTTAGATTTTTTTTTGTTTCCTAACCACAGCATCTCATTCCCGATTGATAACAGCCCTACATCACCGCCTATGTAGAGTCAGCAGTGCCAACAGCAGAATCTGCTCAGCGCTTCAGGACACGTAGAGTTTCAGGGTTGCTCTGAAAATTAAACTGGAAGCGAGTGTCAAAAAAACCTGTGAGGATTTTAATTACAAAGGTATGATATCCTGAAGGTTATGCACAACACTTCTATTTTAAAAAAGCTGCAACAGACTGTGATGAAAGAGTATGTGAATACTAAAGAGCTTTATGATTACAAGAAAAAAAAAAGACCAAATACAAAACTGTTGAAGCATCTGGAAACTTTGCACTGAAAACTTTTTAAAACTTTAAACATTTGCAATTTGGAGAAAAATAGAAGAGACTGCACACCAGTTGTGTGCCTCTTCAAGTCCTGGGGCAGTCTCCAGTGGCAAACAGTCCTGCCCCCTCACTGCTGCTGCTGTCCTCCATCAAGAAACATAGCTCAGTACACTTCTGCTTTAAGTTCCCAAAGCTAAGAAACCAAATTACAAACTAAGTGCCCACCAAAAGGTCAGAACCTCCTTTCAGTCTGGAGCAGGCAAACAGTAATAGATTTTCCTGGAATAGTCTAGACAGGGGAACTTGCTATATAAACTCATATAAGATGAAGTTGTACAAAATATAATAAAGCTATAAACAGAAACAAAACCTAAAAGAAATAAAAATTCCCTTTAAGGTTAAAAAAAATAATGTACTACTTTAAATTTTATAAAAAAAATCTTTTGAACTACTGATGGATTGATTCAAGCATAACATGAGGAAATCACAGGTTTTTAAAGGATATCTGAACTGCAGAGAAGAACTATGAAAATACTTAACATGTTAGTTTAAACAACTACCTATTATTAAGTTAATTCCCCCTTCATTTTTCTTTTTGCACCTATTCTTCTTCTAAACATGCTTGTCTTCCTGAGTACTTATTTCAGATGTTCTATGTACTTAATTCTTCAAAAAGTGAAACACCTATAAAGATAGGTGTTAGTTTACACATAAGTAGGCTTGTTTTCATTCACTATCACATTTTATTGCTTCCCCATAGCCCATTTGTAGGGCTGCCTTAATACCTACTGCACTTCAAGAATCAACCTTTCCTTCTAACCTCAGGGAGAACTCAACATATGGGGTTTCTCTATCAATGTCTCACAAACACAACAAACACAAGGAAAATAATTCATTATGGATCATTACAAAAGCATTTTAGCTTTGATGAGATGTATACACTGGAGATTATTCTCCTGAATATGAAAATCCACAGTTATTTGCTGAATTAAGCTAGATCAAGCAAATGAAGGCATGGTATACTAGGAATCAACAGCAACACCTATTGGAAAGAGTCAAACTTCAAGCTATATACAGGAGAAGAAGCTTTTTTGCTACAAAATGTGAAGACATTTATATATTAAAAATGGAACATGCTAATAAGACAGCAAGAAACAAAGTTATGTGGGAAAATGACATGCACACAAACTGCACACATCCTCATCTGTTATGTATGTAGGTCACTCCAAAAGTAATGCCTATTTATTTCCATGGAAACAACAGCAAAGAGTGCAATAACACTATTTGATAGAACAAGTTCGCAGCTACAGAACACCACACAATACCAAGGATGTCTATCAGAAAAGCAGACACCATTTACCAGCAGTCAGCAAGTCTAAAAACACAGAAAATCTACAGGCCTATAGAAGAAGAGGCTGGTTTCAGAAAAAAAAAAAAAAAAAAAAAAAAGTGGTGGTTGAATTTGTCCCTTGAACCTGACAAGAGTGTTTAGCAGGGGGGCTGGAGAGGGAAGTAACAAAAATACCAGCCACAACCACAGCTAAACCTGAAAATCTATGATAAGATGCTTTGATTCCTTAAGCACGTTGCCAACTTGGCCTAAGCTAGTGGAAGTACCTACCAGAACATCATGGTTTTATCTGTTTAAGTACAGTGAATTGGACCCTGTAAAGACCATTACCAGTAATCATGTCCATTTTTTTTTCCCCTATCAATGACAGCATGAAACAAAACATATGGGAAAAATTCACTATATTTATGTATAAACTTATAAAATAATTAGCAATTTGAGGTTCAGAGATGTAAAACTTACATGACATCAGAGATCATTGGAAAAAAAAAAAAAACAAAACAACCAACTACACAAAAAACAACAACCCTCATACCAGAAAACTTAATTTCTGGGCTACAAAGAAGGAAGGTAATGGCAGCACCTGAATTCCAATAGCCAACTCACTGCTGCAGAGCAAAAACCATTTTGTAGAGCTGTGTGCAGTGAAAAACATCAAATGAATTAGCAGCCTGCTCTACATTTTCCAGTTTGATGGATCATGAAGTCTCAATTGAGAACACACAAATCATTTAATCAATCATGTTACTCTCACACCAATTATTTACTCACATGATTACAGACTCCAAAGATTGAATTTGATCTGCCCTTAATTATGCTAATTAGGCTTGATTCTTTCTTCATCATAGCTACTGCTTCTGGAAACAGACTTGTTCATCTTTACAACTGGCACACAAAAATAGGGAGCACCCCCATCCAAAGCAGAGACTTGTGACACCTCTAAATTTCAAATGCACTAATCAGGATACAGGAAATACTAACTTACCTTGAATCCAAAAGTAAGTCTATTTGAACAGCCTATTCAAGAACAACATATTATCATTTCGTAGCACCCTAAAGGCACAGCCAAACCAACACATAACCATTTCACAAAAACCAGTGAGCAACATGATCACTAAAGCAGCACAATTCCAAGGAAGAGGTATTTATATGTTCACATTTATTATCCATAAAAACATTGTTGTACCAGAACAAGATAAGGAAAAACTACCTGGAAACACTTATGGATATTGTTTATACATGAGTTTTCTTAGACTGCCTAGCACTGAACATAAAATAAAAAAAAGTTGTCTAAACATAAACACTAAAATATTAGTGCCTAGCGATAGAAAGCAATTTTTTATTTTTAAATGAAAATACTTGAACTCCCTTCTCATAAAATAACATAATGCTATCAGAAATGCTGTGGACTCTTTCAAGGCCAGGCTGGATGTGGCTCTGGGCAGCCTGGTCTGGTGGTTGGGGACCCTGCACATAGCAGGGGATTGAAACTCAATGAACACTGTGGTCCTTTTCAACCCAGGGCACTCTATGATTTCCAACCCCCTCCCCCTCAGAAGTGAAGTTTCAGGTGATTTTGTAAGTAGCTTTATTCCAGCAGGAGGGATAGCTACAAACATATTTCCCAATAAGAAAAAGTGACAGAAGAATACCCGTTAGTAATATCTTTTCCTTTTTAAAATCCATTTTATTATTCACAAAATCAGTCTGTAACATTGAGTGATTTAAAGACAACTCTGCTTCCCATCATATATTTTCCCTCCTCCACCAGCAATCCTATGGTATTACATCTATTCAGATGTATAGTAAAACATAGAATGTTCACTTTTGTTTAGAATTTGTACAGTACTTTTCATAACAATGTCTGAATACTTTCCAATGTCTAATTAGTTAATCAGCACTACATTCCAGTGATACCACAAGGTCGCTCTGAAAGTAATGCTTCCTAATTATTTTCATGGAAACTACAACAGGTACAAAGAGCACAATATCACTGTTTGAGCAAGTCCTCAGCTACAAAACTCTATTCTTCAACAGTTACCACCATTAGCTGTGCATTTGCACTATCAATGAACAAGAGCTTGCATGTCACACTCAGAAAATCTGCACCAATGGAAATAACTCACTGTTTCACAGATGCAGTGGCAGCATTGAGGCTGCCACACAATTCATCTTTCATTGGCCCAGACAGATGGACGCCAGAAGGCATCAAAATTGGAATAGACAGTGGGTGTGGAAGGACAGCACAGACAAGATTGCATTGTGCTCTGTGGTCTTCAAACTGTTATGGGCCCTGCTGTTATCATGTTACAAGAGAAAGTGTTCTCTTCTTCTCTGGTCTGACTACAGAAGTTCAAACCTTCAACTTAGTCAGCATTGTGATACAGCAGTCAGAGCTGGTGGTTCATCTAGGTTCCAGGAAATCCAAAAGCACTGCACCTTTACCATCCCAAAAAAACAGTGCACATCACCCTCTGAGGGCTGTGCCTTGAATTACTTCTTCAATGGGAATGCACATGTTGTCACTGCATGGACTGACATCTTGACTCCAGCTTGTAATGGAGACACCACATCTAGTCACCCCTACTGATGTGATCCAGGAAAACGTCACCTTCAGCTTCATGTTGGTCCCAGAAGTCCTGAAAAGCTTGCATATGGTGCTCTTCTGTTCCCACGTGAACAAATGCGGGACTAAACTGGTGCAAACTTTGCTATTTCAACATTGCCACCATTGTTTCCAACACACTGAAGCCAATATTCAGCTCAATATACACTTCCCGATTGCCATTTGCCAATTTAGAGATGAGCTGATTGACAAACCTCATTTTACAGCGTGACAGAAATGCATATGTGCCTGGAACGTGGCTTGTCACCACTGCTGAAACACACCACCCATTGTCTCACTGTGCACACATCCACTGTACGGTCTTTATAAATGCTCAGCAAGCATCAATGGGTGTCATTTTTCCCACACGAAAGAATTCAATCCCGCTCCTTTGCTTCAGATGTAGTTCCATGCCAGATGCCACTTGTCAGACTGCTCCCCTGCTGCCAGCTATTACATGGTAACAAAATGCAATGGAAGATTGGTGGGAAGGTTCAACCCCTGCTGCCACCCCAACAACACTTGCTTCTGACATCATGGGCCAACATAGTAAAATAGGAGGCATTACTTTCAGAGCGGCCCTTGCCTTCATACATAACCTTACAAGGCCCTGCTGGCACCTTAACAGCCCTAGTTTCAGAACGAGCACCAAGTTCTGATAGTTTTCCTAAGAGTAAACGTCCTTAGCTGACACACAAAGGACAGAAGCACACTGACTGGAAAAGAAGGTTTATATAATTTGCCCAAGCACCAGGAAAAAAAAAAAAAAAAAAAAAAAGTGTCAGCAATGAAAACAGGAAGCAATTCTCTAAACTCTCTCAGAAATCTGCCAAACAAGCCTATTCTTCCCACTAATCAGATAATTTGGTAAATCCTCTGAAAATCAGTCTCTCGTCAAGTTTTGTCATTTATCACAAAGGCACATTTAACTACTACTGTTCTGACCTCTAACCTTAGAAGAGGAGTTAAAATCAGTGAAAAGTATTTGACTCAAGCACCTCTACGAGAACAGATGAAAATCAGTTCTTATCACTTGGAAAAATAGAAACAAATCCCAACAATAATTCTTTCAAGGTCACATAGAGAAAGGAAGTAATCCCATGTCTGTTTAAAGCTTGTATGCACACAAGTTTTATCTATACAATATTTCTTTCACTATTCCAAGCTCATGATCTGCGTAAAAAGAACACAAAACAAGTGGCATACTTTCCCTAGGAGATACAGAAAGCAGCTCTCACATGGAGCAGCACATTGCTGCCACATGGTCCCCAGCCATCACAACACATTACAACCACTTCTGGCACTGTAGCTCATATCTGCATGATGTTTCTTCAAACCATATTGGTCTTAGCATGTATGGGAGGATGCCCATGTACCATTTGTGAAGATATCCTCTACTTGGAACCAGCTATGGGACCTGAAGCAGCAAAATGCCCAAGTATTGGTTAAGCTGCAGGAGAAAGCTTCTTATCTTCTTAGCCCCCATTGCTGCAGCCACATGGCTGCTGTAAACTAAACTGCTAGTCCAAAGCAAGGTGGGAGTGCCTTTCTGAATTGTTGCCACACACCGCAGCACAGAGAAGCCTTAAGCTTCTTGGCTACAGTAAACATATTGATAGCCTATCATCAGTTACAATTATACTTAAAAGCCAAATCTTGCTCTTACTAATGTTAGCAGCCAAATGCCTATACAAAGGAAAACTTCTTGACCATCCACATGCAAAAACACTACTTGTCACTAGAAACCTCAAAAATCACTCTTAGAATCTAACTTCAGATGACTTATAAATGCAGATATTCCATACAAGCAGGAACAAACAGAGAAACTACACCAGAATGAGCCACCAAATTTCACAATTTCTTGTACAGCATTGAATGCACAACCAGAAACAGGAATACCTGAAAAAAAAAAAAAACTAATAAAACAAATGCCATTTCCTGTTCTTTAAAGTGGATGTTGCCTAACCATTCAGGTTTGGTTTTTCATAGGAGGCTGAAGCTAAATTATTGTGTATGACTGCAAACTGGAGCAACCTGTCCACAGATGCCTTTTAGCATCACTATCAGTCACTCCTCGCAAACACACAGTTTAAAGAGGAACGTCAGCCTGAAGTTCATTTACAGCAGATGTGCTACATATATCCTTATTCAGACAAGTCTACCACAATATGATTTGCTTTCTTGAAAAGGTGTTACCCAAATAAAACTGGGCTCTTCTGTTTGAAGTATGAATATATTCAGCTAACTTTAACATATCATTTTTTCCTATTATCATGCCTAGCTCACGCTCCCTTCTTTGGAATAACGAACTCAATTTTGAATTGAGATTACAGAAAAGAGAGCTAAGTACACCTTCCAAGAGGATCATCAGCTGTCAGAATAACAACGGCTTTGAAGCATTTTTTTGAGTGTTTGAGCACAAGTTTAATTATTTCAAAAAAAAAAAAAAAAATGTAGAAAGCAAATTTCTGATCAAAATATGGACCTGCTAGTATCATGTACTGCTGAATTTTTTGATACCAAAGGCATAACCTTCATAATGGTATTTAATAATAAAATACCGTTTAGAAGTGCAGTTACTTCCAATCTTACTAGCAAGTAATTTGCATTAAAAGGAAGAGCCCTTAAATCCAAATTGTCACATTTTTCATGGTATCACTGACCTTTAAAGTACAGGACTTTGAGAAAAAAAAAAAAAAAAAATCATCTTTTGACAACAGAAGCTGAAGTCTGTGAGATGCTGGCATGTTAATACACAGGAAATTTTAGTAGGATGGGCAGAGAATGGACTATTAGGCTTTAAGAAGAGGATACCACTGAGCTTCCAATCACAAGAACCATTACCTTCAGCTTTTTAACTTATCAGCAGAAAAATAGCATTTCACCAACTAGACAATTTCTTTTTCAGGCAACAGCTTAGATTCAGATAGCCCTAAAGAAAAGCTATATAACATTTACGATGCGTGAAAAGTTCCTCCCCAGGAGCAGATAAGATCCACTCAAATCAAAAGCAATATAGCACAGAAAATAATATTGATGTCAACTTTAGTTTCAGCTACTTTTAGACTAGCAGCCTAAAATACAAACATACATAAGCTACAAATTTGACAGAAGAGCATTTCCAATTCTATCAACCAGCTCCATGTAACAGCACACTGATATTCAAAAATAATATTTCGTGTATAATATACTGATATTTAAGATGATCACAGGTTTGACACAGTGAAACAGAAAGTATCAGAAGTGGAATACTAAGGGTACAGCAGAAAAAGGTAATAAGAAAGTATAACATATATTCCACAGCAACCTCTTTGCTGCAATCCCATCGATTTAATCAACACTAGTATTTTCTATTTACATCTTGCATCAGCCCAGCTTTTGGTACCATTTACGTCATTGTACAATTTGCTTCTATTTTTAATCTTGTTACTAAGGGGAGTTTGCACCATTTAAATTATGCACATTACATTGCCAAATTTCCTTATGTTTTTCAATCCCATACTGTTCTGAATACACTCCTGCTTACTGTTAATCCATCTTCCTTTCTGTGGATATGAAATACTTACACCAATACACATCACTACACCTTCAATGACTGCATTAGATATTACAGCAAGACAAATGCTCACCCATACTGCAGCCATACCTTCATATTGCTTTGTAGAAATACTCCTAATCAACACAACAGCTAGTGCTGGGATCTAGAATGAGGGTGCTGATAAAATTATTTTGCATTCAGGTGCAATGTGAAATTCCCCTCTGAAGTTTTGCAACAAAGGGCTGTAAACAGGTCTTTCACACACTGACAAAGAACACTATCAATCTACATTTACTAAATGTAATTAAAATGATTAATGAGTGCCGGAGGTTGCTTTTTCTGCAACTGTAACAGAGTTGCAGACATAAAGGGCATGAACTTTGGTGTAATTTGGTACACTCGGTGCAATTAAGAGGAGTTTTGAGAGTGAATTGGTTCAGATACTTGCTACAGGATGAGAAATTGTCAAAACTCAGTCTTAGGTTTTAAATCACAATCCAGGATAAGCAGTATGTAGTAGGGCAACTCGACATCAATGAACAGTGAGAGGCAGTCATGCTAAAAGATATTTCCTGTGAATTGTGTCTGCAAGCCACCACGTTTGTGCTGCTCTGAGAGCTGGAGTAAAGATACCACACAGCCCAGAAACACAGACTGCACCTACAGACACTTTGCAATTCAGAGCCCATCCTATTTCCTTTCACATTCTAGAAGAGTCACTGCAAGGTCAGCTGCATCGTCAGTAGTAATGTGAACTGCACTTTATGATACAGGGAAAACACACTGGACATTTGGTTTCTGCATAGAAAATTATGAAAAAAGTGATACTTCTGAACTTGATAGTGGATAGCTATACATTATTTACTGAGAGCGTACCTACAAAGTGCACTGAGTAGAAAATATAATTTAAAATGAATAGTACCTAGAATTTGATAAGAACCTGAACAACAAAAGAAAGCTCAACATTACTGATGTACCCTAGTTGATGAAACAAATAGAAGTATAAACCTAAGAAAAAACTAGACTATGGACTAGCACTGAAAAGCAAATGATACGCAGCTCCTTTCACCCATACAACCATGAAAATGATTTCAGAAACCTATAATGATGGGCTTGCTGACTCATAGTGGTTACAAAGAACAGGTTGGATAAGAATTTTTAAAATCCAGTATAATTTCTAGAAATCACCTAAATTTCTATTCAACACATCCTCACATGCACCCTCCCAAAAAACATAAGTATACATGTACTTTTTCAGCAGTTAAACCTCATGATACCAACACTAAGTGAAGTTTCATATTTTACTGTGTTCCTCCCTTGTTGTTACCTATAAGCAGTACTTATCTCAGGTTAAATCTATTTATGAAACACTGAAGTGTTGCTTTTGTTCTGAATGCTCATCAGAAGAGCTCAAATTTGTACATGTATGCATACAAAATATCATATATGTCATTGCCAAAGAAGGTATGTTAAATAAAAAAAGGAGTCATCTTGTAACAGATCTAAGATGACACATAACAAAAAAATCACTGCAAAGGAAAAGAGAAAACTCAAATATTTAAAGCTAAAAACTGAAATTCAAATTTGATTCTGAATCATGTTTATGAACACCTTCTACCCTGAATATGGCTGAATTTTAAAAATGATGCAATAGGAAGAATAATTCACGTGCACTGCATGCATCATTCACATTTTGTATTCATCAGGAGCAGGCTTACACTACAGAACACTTACCTGACAGGTTCATGAAGAAACAGGCTTGAAAAAATAAACAAGAGTCTGGAAACGATCAGTGAGGAAACTATAGCACAGGGCCCAGCTTCTAAACTATCCCACAGATTTCCTTTTTCTTAATAGAATAGTTTTGCCACATTTCAGAGGTTTTTTTCCTCTGATTTTTTTTTCCTCCAATTTTTTCCTGATCACTTATCATAAGCAGTGCGTTCTGGTTTTGGATGGAAATCCAGCATGTTACTATGAAAATCATATCGACACTTGATATTGGAAGAAATTCTAAAAGAGAACAGCAGTAGTTTGCCTTATCGTAACCAAACTCTGGTTTGATTCTACTAAATAAAACATAAGTTGCTCATTATTAGTTGCTCATTATTAGTTGCTTGGATTGGAAAATACATAGCTTTATTTAAGAATAAAGCTCATTCCATTTTTCAGAATTTTATTTGGATAGAAAACAAAAAAATGGAATTTTTACTGTATAAAAGAAAGGCTTTATACAAATAGCCAGTGAGAACCACATACATGCTTACATTTAGTAGATTCTTTGAATTAATAGACTGCTCACTATCAACAGCTTACAAATATTCCTTATTTAGCTTGCTATTTTGACATGATTGGAGATATGATATATACCTATTAGTGTACGTATACATAAAAATTCTTACCAAGATGACTTGGAAAAGAACTGGAAAAAGATGGTTTTCTTCCACAAGGCTGTAAAAACACAAAGATTTATTTTAGAAGAGAGGAAGTGAATTCTTATTTAATATACTAAACACATAGGAGGAGAACAGTAGAATAAGAGTTGCCAAAATCTATGACCCCAAACCCCAGTCTTTGATTAGCTTCCAACAAAAATGAGCTCCCCTTTTAGCTATCAAATAGAAACAGCAACATAATGCTGCTTTGGAAATTACTTCTAGATCTGCTTCACTGATGCAATTCAAGTGAGCGGTACAGTAAGTAAATTAGTATTTTTAAAAGGCAAAAAATAATCAAAATTCAGAAATACAACACTGTACAGACTATGAAACAGTCACCGTGCATCATCAACTAATTTGAATTAAGAGATTCACAGCACACAAGGTGAAATTACAAACAAGCTGTGTGTTGTTATTTGAAGCATGTTACATTAACTAACTTCTCGGGTTTAACATATATTAATATATGACACACTTGCAATTACTTCCCTTCAAAGAATTCAGGAGTGGTTACCCAAAAGAATTTACTTCTGTTTTCCTGAATTTCAAAGTCTATTCAGAAGAAAGCAGAATATTCTCAAAAATAAATAAATAAAAATTCCAAAAGCTTTATGCCTGTGAATAAAGCAGATGTGTATCTCTGTCACATGCAACATGATGACAACAGAATTATAGGTAGGTCACTCTGAAAGTAACACTTCCTATTTATCTCCATGGAAACTACAATAGATACAAAGAGTACAACAACACTATGAGCAAGTTCTCAGCTACAAAACACTATGTTTCAGTACAGTCACCACCATTTCAGCTATGCATTTAAGCCACCAATGAACGAGAGCCTGCATGCCTCACTCATAGAGGTCTGTACCAGTGGAGATGAGCCTCAGTGGCTGCTGCCACTGCTGAAAGGCACCACTGCTGCCTCGCTGTGCTGTCATGTGCTGTTTGCTATCCAGAAATGTTCAGTAAGCGTTGGTGAATGTCAGTGGGGAACAGTGATTACTGTATAGAAGAATTCAATGACACACCTCTGCTAAACATGCACTTCCACAGCAGATGCTATTGAGTCAGACTCAAAGACTCATACAGGCAAAATGATCCATGACAAGTAGAAACTTCATAACATATCTCAAGATGCAGCTGTATAATTTTAAAAGAAACGAGCAGGGATCATGTGGAAAGCAAACCAGTTCATTCAGTTCACTGTGCCCTTCCACAACAAGCTAGGACTTCTAGATTCTGCCTGTTAGAAAACAAAATTGCTGGTTCTCAAAAAATTACTAGCAGACTTAATTTTAAACCTTGCTATTTAAATAGGAAGTGAATTTCTGAAAAGTTTGTCAGTAAATGACAACAACTTCATTCCAGTAGTTGTTGAAACCACCATTCTTTAGCCCAAAGTCCTAGGTAATAGCCAACAGTAGACTCAAATGACACTGATGCCAAAGGACATTAAAAAAAACAAACAAACCCAAACATTTGAATGTTAAGGGAAAAAGGAAATACTTTTGTCCCCTTTAAATAGACCAAAGTAGAAGAACATAGCAAAAGGAATATTTGTGAAAGACCATGGACGATATCTACTAGTACATTAAAAAAAGTTGGTCTAAAGATCTTGTCCCATTCAGAATTTGGTATAAAATGAATATAAATAAAGCTAATAACCTCATTGCTATCAGCTGGGAAAAAAAGGGAGGTGGAGCACGGCTGTCCCTAAATGTTAGAAAGTCTTCCTGACAAAATAACCTCCCAGGTCCATTGGAAGCTTAAATTAGAGCAGAACTCAGATAAATTTATCTATCTTTTTTTGGTGAACTCCACAGAATAAAAACCCACCACTGAAATGGAAAGGTTCAAAGTCATCTCACTGCCATACTTTCATGTCATGCCCTTCAGAAGCTGTCCAAAAACAAAGAATGATCTTACCATTGATTTTTAAGAAATATTATACCAAGACGCAACTCACAATAGTGTCTACCATCGAATACAACAGGGAGAAGATCTATTAGGGCTTCCAATTATTTCAGAGTCAATTTTCTTGAACAATGTTATTCTTCACTTCCAGTTCCTAACCCTTCTCAGTAATTCTAGTTTACATTTCAAATAACCCAGGGGGCAAGGAGGAAAAAAAAGGATGAAAAGAGTGTGCAGGTAGAAAATTATCTTGGATGTCAAATAATTGGATTTTTTTTCTTTTAATGCTTCACTTTTTGCAGTAGACAGAAACTGGAAATAAACACAACAATGAAGATCTCACTGTAAAATCAATGCATCTCCATTATACGATGGTAATTTAAAGAACTTTCAAAAGTGTATGATCAGTACTAAAACAGGAAAGGCTGACTGATACTCATAAGTATAGCAAAACAAGATTTGAGAAGTAAAGTAAAAGTACATCTTTACTGTAAGAAAAATATTTGAAGTAGGATATTTCTTTCAAACATCTTAACCACAGCTGTCAAAGTATGTGAAGTCCATGGATAACACTTTTCAGGAAGTAGAACATGACGACCTGCACTGAAAGTACTGATCCACAGCAGTTTGGCGTTTTTTTATTGCATATTAGCAGTAAAATCATTAGTAGCTTTCAGTCATTGTGTGGTGAAAGAGCTTACTTTCAGTTCCAGTACAGGCTCAAAAAACTGCAGAACACAGATATTGGAAGGGCATCACTGCAATGCCAGTCAGTCATCCAGCAGCCTCAGTCAGATTATGGAGGGAGAACAGAGTTTTATTTTCAATTCCTGATCAGTTTCCAGCTTCAAAATCCATACTTCTATAGAAATGTCTTTCAATAGGTTTTCAACCCGGCATACTGTCTGCTGCTGATTTCCCATTATGTTCTATAATTTTGCCTCTGCCTAATTACAAGCAGCACAAAAATAACCTAACCAATAATATTAAAATAAGTCCCATTTTTAAAACATAATTTTTGAAATCATAATAAAATGGTTCCCAGACAGGGAAACAGTAACTGTAATAAAGCAAGAAAGTTGTATTAAAATTAAAAAGAGCCTGAGTATTCAGCTTCATCTATTACAACCCTATAGCATGGTATAAAATAAGAAAACCAAGTCATAAGAAGTTTTGCTAAGAGTTCATGAGATCAAAACGAAAAGAAACGCACGCTTAAGAACAATACAGACAGCAATAATCCCATGGAAAATAAATGCAAACCTTACTAAAACAAACAAAAAAACAGTTTTGCCACCATTCTGTTTGAAGGTCCATAAAATCTTCATAAAGTTACGAATTAAAGTGAATTTTGAGTGTGGTCAAGTGATAGGGTTTTTTTTAATAACTCTACTTATGTCCTGAATTCCTAAAGTTCAGGAATTACACAAATGAAAAAATATAAATTACAATACCTTAGAAAGTGATTTTAAGGAGTACTACAACTCATGAAATTCTTCAGCATAGGGATGCAATTCAATGATCACCACAAATTGAACTGCCGGAAGTTTAATACACCTTACTTTCTTCAAGAATCCCAAAATATTTTAGCAGAGCTTTTTTTGTTGTTTAGTCTTGAAGATGAGTATTTCCTGAAGGTTCTGTCAGATTGCGATTGCATATTTTGTCAACTTCAAAATCTATAGCTAATGGACTATTAACATCTTACAAATAAATACAAGCAATGGCTATTTAAACATTAAGAGAAAGTTCACTTCTACAGTACAAGACTTAAAAAAAAAAAAAGACTAATTTTGTTCAACAAGAATATAAGAAAAATTACTATTCTTGAGTTTAAAGAGTTTTTTGAAGGCAAAGAAGCAGAATGATACCCCTTTCTCAAGTTCCATGTTTCAACATTACATTGAAGAAAAAAAATCATTGATTTTTAAAAACAATTTTCAGATTTTTCATTCAGATAACAAATATCCTGATGTTTTACAGAATTATATCTTGTATAATAAATCAACGGCAGGTCAAACAAGCTATTTCAACCATATGTAGATATTTATACACATTTCCACAGCTTTTTTTTTTTTAAAAAAAAGTTCTTTATACATTTATGCCCCTCAATTCTGAGATTTCAGCCCAAGATATATACAATTCCTTAAACCTAAAATTAAAGCGTACAAAAAAATTTTAATTAGTTTGATACATGAAAAGAACCTCCTCAGACAATTCTGCAAGACCTTTTAGTCCTATTTGAAAAACACAATAGTACATTAAGCAATTCTTCTCTTGCTTCTGGCCTTCTATAACTAGGCATTCATACCAGTAGAGATAGTTGTTCAAATAAGGATAGCAAGACTGAATTATTCCACAGCATAAATAAAGCTAAACTCAAGGGAAAACTAAGTTCCTATATAGACCAAAATATTTATTATTTTTGTTCCTAAGAAATTACAAATGCAATATACAATAGTGCAACTTAACGCATTTATAACTTCTTAGCAATAAAAACAGGAATGACGATGAGAAAATCTGTAAGCTCTAAATATAAATGCATCCCTCCCCTAAAATACTGAGCAAAAATTTCAATGCATTAAATAAGATAAAGTAGGTTTACGTCTTCAATGTAATTCTTTTGAGACTCCTTTCTCTTACATCTCCTGCAGATCACGACATAGTACAAAGCAAGGAAGCAGAAAAAGGACACTATACAGAGTTGTTTGGATTTGTTTTAAAATATGGTCAGTTGTAACTTTAAGACTTCTAACATACTTCCCATACACATGCACACAAAATTCTTACTGAATGTGAAACAACAACAAGATTGACTGGGAGGAAATGGAAGAGAGTAGGTGACGTAAAAGCAGAGGTCATAACGCACACAGCAGAGATCACTCCTTCAGGCAGCTGAACAACATTGATTTCAAGCATTTTCAATTCCTACGAAATGCCATTCTAGTACAAAACATTGATGTAGGATGATTTAGCAAAAGAGATCAATATATTAGTTTAAGGATTAATAGATTAGTTTAGCAAAAGGAATCAATGGGTACTAGTCCTAAAACTTCCCATGTTTACTTCACTTGGTGTGCCAACAGCCTTTTTTCCCCT